AAACGATTAATTATGGGGTTTAAAATAACTCCAGTGCCTCTGTTTAGGGCCCAATGTCTCCGATTAGCCCATATGTTTTAAAAAAAAATCACACAGTAAAAAGATAAAATAAAAGTGGAAGCCATTTTTTGTCGATTTCGTTTAGTGATTAGCCGTCCCAGGCATGGCTCCATTTTATCAACGACCAGAAAATGCTCTTAAAAGAGCTGAAGGTATTTCAATTTTTCAGATCAATAGTTTTTAGAACTGGTTAACGATATTCGGCTATTTGTAAGAAATTGATTGCAAGCAATTAGTTAGAAATGCATTACGAATGTCTTTTATTTTTTTCTTAATAACTATCATTCATGAAATTCAACGATACAACATTTGAATTCAAATATAGTTTGAATTTAAAATCATCGCACTTATATATTGCAATTTTTTTTAGAGCTAATTGCAGTTGGCCAAAACGTAGCCGCTCTTACATCTCTCCACGAAATAGTAATTTCAAAGCGTTCACGTAGTACATCTCTCACCGCGTTAGAACCGATCATGCTTCGATTTGTGGAATTGTGTGTCAATTTAAGAAAGGGTAAAACGGCAAAAGAAGGCTTGCATCAATACAAGAATATCTCTCAAAATACAAGTGTTACAACTATTGAGGTATATAGTTGATTGTATTCATAATATCAATATTTTGTGCCAATGACTATATATACTAACTTATTTATTTAGCTTGTCATAAAAAAATTTATTGAACTATCTGAAGAAAAAGTAGCTGCAGCCCAAGCAAAGGCTGATCAGATTACTTTGGATGCAATTGATGATCTCGAGGCATCCGAAACTCCAGAATCAATTATGTTAAGTACAGTGAGTGGTGAACAGAGTAAGGATAGGACTGATAGAGCTGTTGTTACACCTTGGCTCAAATTCTTGTGGGAAGCGTATAGGACGGTTTTGGATATCTTAAGGAATAATGCGCGATTGGAAGTCTTATATCAAGTATATGACAATTTTTTCTAACATTTAATATTTTTTTTCATAAGCTTATGCTATATTTTGTCCTTCGTATGTAGCAAACTGCCCATCAAGCATTCCAATTCTGCCTCAAATATACGCGAAAGACAGAATTTCGACGTCTATGCGAACTTCTCCGCAATCATCTTCAAAACATTGCCAAATACGCTCATCAACCTCATTCTATTAATCTAAATGAGCCAGAAACACTTCAGCGACATTTGGACACTCGATTCAACCAGCTTAACGCAGCTGTTGAATTAGAACTATGGCAGGAAGCATTCAGATCTGTTGAAGATATTCATAATTTGCTGTCTATGTCAAAGAGGCCACCAAAATCTGTAATGATGGCTAATTATTATGATAAATTGACGAAGATATTTTTAGTTAGCGAAAATTACTTGTTCCATGCTTCTGCTTGGAATCGATATTATACCTTGGTGAAGGCACAAAATAAAACTCTTACCGATGAGGAGAGCACGAGAATGGCCTCTTTTGTCTTGTTATCAGCTCTTGCCATCCCTGTTATTACCAGTTCAAGAACTCGTATGCTTGAGATTGATGACAACAAAAACAAACAGCATCGACTTGCTTCATTATTAGGAATGAGTCGTTCTCCAACTAGATCCGGTCTATTAAAAGAAGCGGTACTCGTAAAATTTATTTTCAAGTGCTTTTAAGCATTATTGTTAATACTCTTAACGTTCATCTAATAAAAAATTTCCGTTTAGCTCAATAAGAATATCCTGCGCCGAGTCCGTCCAGAGCTGAGAGAGCTTTACAACATCTTAGAAGTCCAATTTCATCCTTTGTCAATTTGTAAAAAGATTGAACCTATAATGAACCATCTCTCACAGGATACTGAAATGGCGAAATATGTTAAACCCTTGCACCAAGTTATATTGACACGACTCTTTCAACAGTTATCGCAAGTTTATGACAGCGTTAAACTTGACTTTGTCATCAATCTTGCGTCATTTGCACCGCCATATAATTATGATGCCGCAACAATAGAAAAATTTATTATGAACGGGTGTAAAAAGGGAGAATTATCAATTCGTATTGATCATGCGACTAGTAGTTTAACATTTGAGACCGACTTGTTTGCAGCTTCTAAAAATGCTGATGCTGATGGTGCCAAATTGCAAGCTTCACCAGCAGACAGGATGCGTGATCAACTTTCGCGACTCGCCAAATGTTTTTATACGACCGTCCATATGATAGATCCTACTATTATTGAAGCAAAACAAAACGCTAGAGCGCAGGCTCTTTCACGTGCTTTGGCTGGGATGGAAGAAGAACATAATAATGCACTTGCGCGAAAGGCTATTATTGAGCGACGGAGAGAATTAGTGGAAACATTGTTAATGCGCAAAGAGAAGGAAGAACAGCGTGAGCGAGCTATTCGCCAAAAACAGAGAGATGAAGAACTAAAACAACGTCAAATAGAAGAGGCGAAGAAGCGTGAGCAAGAGAGGAAGAAACGTGAGCGTGAGGCCATTCAAAAAGAGGAAGCTCGTAAATTGGCAGAAACTTTTAAACTTCAAAATCTAAAACTTGAACCAGATGTAAGGATAAATTGCAATTAACAAATCAAAGTATAAATTTATATGATGGTTATAATAATATTTATTATTACATTTTATCATTAAGGAGTTGGATAAATTGGACCCAGATAAGATTGTTAGACTTCAAGTTGAACGGCTTGAGAAAGAAAAACGCGAACTTAATGAACGTCTCAGAGCTACAGCTAAGCGCATGGATCACCTTGAACGTGCTTATCGTAAAGAGGAAATCCCTCTTTTAGAAAAAGATTACGAACGACAAAGAAAAACCGATAGAGCATATCATGAAGCTGCTCGTAAATTACAACTCGAAACAGCTTTTGCTAAGCATACAGAAGATCTTAAATTAAAAGAGAGGCTAATGAGAATCTTACCAGATTATCAAAAATATCGATCAGAAATTGAAAATAGGCGCTACGAAGAATTTGAACGACGTCGTAAAGCTGCTCAAGCTAAAATTGAAGAAGAAAAGGAAAAAAGACGGCAAACGGTTTTAGCAAAATTAGAAGAAGAAAGGTTGATAAAGGAAGCAGAAGAGCAAGCTATGAAACAAGCAGAAGAAGAAGAAAGGCGTCGTGCCGAAGGTTTTTATCGTTTTAGTTGATTTAAAAATTATATAGCCAGTTGTTAAAAGTAATCGCTTTTTTAATAAACCAGAGCTCGCACGTCTTGAAGAAGAACGCCGTCTCAAGAAAGAAAGAGAAGATGCAGAGTATCTAGAAAAGAAACGGTATTATTTATGCTTTTATATTGTTTTTTTTATTCGCATCTTGGTTGATCACTTATAATCAAATAGGAAGCTTGATGAACAAGCCAAACGACAACAAGAGGTTGAGCGTCAAGCAGAAGAAAGGCGAAAACGTATGCAAGAGGAGAAAGAGCGTGAGCGTGCTGAAAAAGAAGAACAAGATCGACGTCGGAAGTTGGAAGAAAGAAGTTCTGGCTATGTTCCTCCAGCTCGTCGTTCGGAAGGTTGGCGTCGCACAACTGATGTTAAAGATGAACCTAGTGCATGGCGCCGATCAAGTGAAACACCTAGTAAAGATGAACAACCATGGCGCAGAACCGGTTCGGGTCGTTCAACTGCTCCAGAGGAACAACGGCGTTCGGTTCAGCTACCTGAAGAAACTTCGTGGCGTAGATCAGATTCAGGTCGCAGTAACACTGCAGACGAAACTGATAAACGTCGGTCTGATGTTCCTCGACGTGCAGAAGAAATGGAATGGCGGCGATCTGATTCAGGACGTGGAACCTCGACTACCGAAGATAAATCTTGGCGTCGTACTTCAGTTGCTACCACTTCAACACGTGAGGAATCAGGTAGTTGGCGGCGAAGTGGCCCACCAACTAATGATCGTGGAGATAGTAAACTAAGATCGCGCGAAGATTCATGGAGATCAAAAGAAGGAGAGGATTCTGAGCAATCTTCAACGTCTTCACGAGGTCCTACTCGTATATTGAAACCGGAATTTACAGCTGAACCTGAAGCTGATGAGGATGGGTTTATAACAGTTAGCAAGGGTAAGAGACGTGGATAATGGTAAATTTTAAAAAAAAATAAATTATATATCTTTAGCCGAGTTAAAACAATAAATTTTAATTAATATATACGCATGCCTACCAACATCGATAATGTAACAAAATGATGCTTGACTTAGTTACGTATTTTATGCAATTATAAATTTGCAAAATATTACAAATTAAAAAAATTTATTATATTGGTCTTTATAGATAGTTTCGCTTACTTTTTCTTGTATAGCTTTAATTAGTTTGAACTAAGCTTTTGTGATTTGATAATTTTGCAAATGGTTAAGTCTAGATTATATAGAACATAATTTTAAAACTATATATTATAAAATTTTAGCTACTTATATTTTATATATATATTTGTATATATTATATTATATATATATATTATTTTATCTATTCAAATTAAAAAATTATTTTTTAAATAATATTTGTATTACCGATAGTTAAGCAAGGTCAAACCCTCTTTCTCCGATACCCCTCTGTATTTTCGCGTAATAACGCGCAGGGGTGAATTTCAAATTTTGGCCTAAATTAAGCTTAATTCGGGCCAAAATTCGAAATAACGCTCATGGGCGTTATTAACCGGGGTAAAACCGCCACCCAAAAAAGTTTCGAACATCACGTGACAAATATGTAAAACACCAAAAATTCATGTAGC